ACCAGGGGGGTTATTCCAAGTTTCCTGCCCAGTTTGGGGACGCTGAGCTCAGATTTCCCTGCTTTTGGGGTAGAAGGATCCCCCTCATCCCCAGTGTGCCACCTCCTCCTCCCCTCGGCCATTCCCAGGACCTGCCGTGTTGGACGTCACAGGTTTGACCTCCCCCTCCTGCCGGGGCTGGATTTGGGATCCTGGATGTTCTCAGACCTTCGGGGGCGGCTCCAGCCAACAATCCCATTAAATCCCGTCTCATAAATCCCCCGAGGGCGGGAGGAGCCGCTTCCAAAGGCTCCGTCACTGCCGCCTGATTTACGATCGATCCATCGCTGCCGGCTTTCCAGAGGCTCCCGAGCTTTTCCAAAGCTCCAGCCTGACGTTTGTCTCCTGGCAAACAGCTCCCATTTCCCCCCTCCCCGGGGCTGTTTAAGTGGGTTTTTTTTTGTTTTTATTGTGGCCATTGAGTGGTTTTTTTGTTTGTTTTTATTGCTCCGTGACATTCCCGTCAAGAGGGGACTCGTTATCCCGGGAAGGCTCCAGCGATCCCTGTTTAAACGGGGTTTAATTAGTTTGTATGCCCTGATTAAGTGTGATTTCCATTCGCTTCCCCCCTCCCCGATCCAGAGGCTGAGGATACAAAGGATCCCTGGGAACAGGAGCCGCTCCAAGGAACCCGCGGGGAATTCCCAGGTGAGGGGAAGGGACGTTTTAGGGAAGGCAATTCCCTACCTGGGAAGGGCTTTTTTTGGGCAATTCGGGATGGAGGGAAGTGGCGGCACGAGCTTAATTAAAACTGGATTTAGGACTCGGCTTAAAGCCGGGTTTGCCCAGGGAAGGTATTCCCGATCCATCCCCACCAGGAAAATCCGCCGGGAGAGCCCTCCAGGCAGTTCCCTCCCAATCCATCCCAACATCCCCGGCGGGATTCAGGATTTTAAATCCCCCTCCTTCCAAAAGGTCACATCCCACCCACCCCCCCACCCTGGTGGGGCACGGAGCATTCCCGTGCTATTCCCGCCGGGAATTCGCTGCTGGATGCCTTTCCTGGTGCCCGCTGCTCCTTCTGCTCTGCCAATCCCATTTCTTTGGGATCGGGTGGGGTTGTGGATCCCCCAATCCGAGCCCCGCGGGTTTTCCCGGGAAAACGGGGCTGGCCGAGCGTTGTGGCTTTTCCCCGGCTGGATCCAAAGGGTGAGCGGGGTTTTATTTTGGGATGTTCTCCCTCAGCCTCCTGCCTGCAGCCCATGGATGAGGGACCCTGCCAGGATTATTCCCTGCTCTGGTACTTCCACCCCGAGGCCAAAACCTGCCGGCCCTTCGTTTTTGGGGGGTGCGGCGGGAACGGGAACCGCTTCCCATCCCGGCGGGAATGCGAGAGGAGCTGCGGAGCCCCGGCAGGTGAGGCAGCCCCTGGACCCCCCGAAAAACCTCCTCCAAACCCAGCCAGGAGGGAGGGGGAGGCAGGAAACCCTCCCCTTCGTGACCGTCCCCACCATCCCACCCCACCCCACCCCCGAGAGACCCGGAGCGCTGTCCCCGATTTCCAAGGATTTGTTCCCTTTCCATTCCCAGCCACCTTTGATCCCCTTCCAGGACGTCCCCTCCCTTGGGTTGATCCCACTGGGAATGAGGAGGCTCCAGCTGGGGTGGTTTGTGCTGTCTGAGGGCGGAATTTTGCAGGATTTTGGGGGGAATGGTGGCCTCCAAACCCTTCCATCCAACCCCCTCCTTGGCATCTGCAGCCACCAGGGGCGTCCAAACCTCCTCCAGAGCAGCTTGTGAACAGTCCCCAAACCCCCCCAGCATCGGGGTCCCACCTGATCCAGGGAAAAACTCTCTCCTGGAAGCAGGGCTGGGCTTCCATCCCTGGATATCCGGGATTTGTGTGGATTTTCCATCGCCTCCAGGGGGAAAACGGGCCCTGGCAGTGACTCAGACTCTGCTGCCCAAGCTATGGTTGAAACCACAAAGATGTTTTTCCCCTCAGAGGAGAAAACTCCTCTGGGAACCAGGAAAAAGAAAAAAAAAAAAATAATTTGTTCTCCAGAACCCATTTCCAAAAATTCCCTGGGGGGGAGGGGATTTGGAAGCCCTATTAAAAAAAAAAAAAAAAGGCAATAAATAAAAGATGGAGATCCACAATTCCAGGTTGGCTTCAGGAATTCTCTGGCTGGTTTTTAGGTGGGCAATTGTTTAACCTGAAAATGAAGCCCAGGGATGTTTCTCACCCCCTGGAATCTCTCTGAGGTGCAAAGGGCTCCTCACGGCCAAACATTCCTGACCTGGAAGGAACAAGGCAGGGACAATATTCCAGGCTGGTTTAGGTCATCCTTGGAAAGCTCAGGTGGTCTCTGGGAAGGTCAGGAAGGAGGGATTTGCTGCCTTAGTGACTCCAGCCCAATCTGGAGGGATCCAGCCCAAACTGGAGGGATCCAACCCAAGCTGGAGGTTTGGGATCGCTCCATGGAGATCCCATCCTGCCTGCCCAGCAGTTGACCAGTTTAGTGGTCAATGCCCACATTTCTGGAGAGGGAAAAACCCACTCAGGACGGGACCTCCTGAGCCCAAATAATCAGCCACATCCCAACATTCCCTTGGTTTCCCCTTCCCTCTCTTCCCTAAAAACCAGGCAGAGGGAGCTGAGCAGCTGCAATTCCCTCCTTGGAATCCGAGGGAAACGGAGCTGGGAGAAGGTTTTTTCCCAGGATGAGCAAGACAGACCTTTGGACGTGGAAAGGGAGGTTTGAGGGGGAAAATAAAACCCGACAAAACCACGTGGGAAAAACTGGAATTCTGAACAGGAAATCCAGCGGGATGAGGAGAGGGAAACACCTGATCCAAAGGCTTCATCCCACGGGATTGGAAGGTGTGTGTGTGGGGGGGGGGAAATAAAACATAACAACCCCTGAGTGTATTTTTGTAAAATAAAAGTGTGTTGATGCTTTTGTGGAATTCCTGGATCGTTCCCCTGGGAAAAGGAGGGATAAGAGGATCCATCCCAGAGTGTACAACAGGAAGAAAACAGGATCCAAAACTCAAGGGTTGTCTCATTCCCTTTATCCACAATATCCCGGGCATGGGAGGAGGGAGCAGCAGAGATTTGGGGACTTTTATTTCCCCTCGCTGGAAACTCTTTTTTATTTAAAAAAAAAAAAAAAAAAACAAACACGAAAATTGGATTTTGTAGATGTTGGCAACAAGCCAAGTGCCATCTCTGGGGTGACAATTCCAGCCTCTCATGGCACCTCAAAGCAGCAGCTCCCAAGGGAACAAAGTGACTTAATTCCCAAATTGCCCCCACACACATTTTCCCCCAAATTCCATCCCCAATCCCTCCACATTTCCCTCATTTTTCCACCCCCAAATCCCTCAAATTTCCCACCCCAAAATTCTCCCAGTTTCCCCTGCAATTTCCACCCCAAATTTCCCCCTTTTTCCACCCCAATTTCCCCCAAATTTCCCCCAGTTCCCTCCCAAAATTTCCACCCCTAATTCCTCCATTTTTCTCCCCAAACTCCCTCCATTTTTCCACCCCAAACTCCCCCAAATTTCCCCTGTTTGTCCCCCAATGTTTCCCCCCGTTTTTCCCCCAAATTCTCATCCTGAATTCCCACACTTTCCCTCTTTAATCTCCAAACAAAGTCGAGGCTTTATCATTTTCGGTGCAGTTCCCCGTTTGTCCACAAGGCGGCGGGATTTCCATTGATTTCCCCCCGGCAGTTCCCGCTTTCCTTCCCCCCGGGGACCCCACGGGGGTTTTTTTTCCCCGCGTGTTTTTGTTGCGGTTCCCCCGGTTTTTTTGTCGGTCGATGGCAATGTCGGCTCTAAAAGCTTTCCTGCAAGTTCCCGTGTTTGGTCACTGGGTAGCAGCGCTGTTTTTACAGCAAGTAATTCCCGAATTCCCGGGAGTAAAAAAAAACCCCTCCTTTGTTAATTGGGTAAGCCGGGTTAATTACCTCGTTAGTGGAAAAAACTTCATCTGTCATTTAACTGATGAGTGAAAAACAACCAAGTGCTGGAAAATGTCATTCTCGAATCGTTTAGTTGCTTGCACAACTGTCATTTTCTAGCGCATTTGTGGGATTTGTTGTGGGCAGGTGAAAAAATCAAGTAGTTAATTAATTAATTGCTTATTAACGGGTTATGATTCGGTACTGCAGAGTGGAATGGGGTGCGGATCACCTGCTGCCCCGTGGAGTATTCATTAGGTAATTAATTAGGTAATTACTTAGCTGCTTTATTGCTTTAATTGGTTGATTATTCGGTTCGTTAGTTGTTTACTTAGTTATTTAGTTAATTGGTAATCCCAGGCCCACTCTCCAGTCCCCTCCCGTGTCCAGTCCCAGTCCCCTCGCAGTTCTTGACGACTTTCTCCTAAGAATAAAAACAAGCACTGGCAGGACAAAGAGAGCCACAGAAAGAAAAATTCCCGAGGGACTCCAGGACAGAGAGGTAGGGATGGAAAAATAGGGAGATGGAGAAATTAAAAACATCCACGGGGCAGAGAGAGGGAAGAAGGGGGAAAGAAAGGGATCTGGAGCTGAACAGAGGGATGGCAAAATAATAGGATGATGATGCAGGTGCAACTTCGCCTGCTCTTTGACCTCTAATCCTAAACCCCTGACTAAAACCCCCAATATTCCCTCATCCTAAAACCCTTTAACTCCAAACCCTCACCCTACACCAGAGGAGTTCCCATCCGTGGAGATGTTTGCAAACCCTCACGTGCTGATTTTTCTGTCGAAGGGAACAGCTCCAAGATACCTTCATCGGACGCTTTTTTTTCTAAAATCTTGACCGTACAAAGAAAGCCGAGTAGGTAAAAAAAAAACTCTCCCTGTCCCAGTTTCGGGCACAACCTCGGTGTTTCTGAGCCCCCCTGGGGTGTTTGCCGGGGGGGGGGACAAAAGGGACCTGTCCCTGGCTTCGGGTTGGGCTCAGGTGCCAGCGACTGCAGCCACGGCAGGTCAGGCTCACCGAGCATTTAGCACGTGGATCACCCTCCCTTTTGTCCGCTTTTGTCATTAAAATCCTTGCTGTGACTGTTTATTTTCTTACCTCATTGCTGTTTCCAGTGTATTGATCTCATCTCGACTCGCCATCGTCGCCTTTTGTTCCTCCAATTCTCCTCTCTGGCCTCCCGATGTAAACTGCGGGGGGGTGTTCCATCTCCTCTCCCCCTTTCTCCTCTCCCTTTTCCCAGATCCTGACAAAGGATACAGTGGAAATGGTCTCTCGAAGCACCCAAAAGCCAGGGAAATCACTGAGTTACAGAAGAACTGGAACATTGAAAATAAACCCCACATCTGCAACTCGGTGTGCTGATAGCACAGTGTGGGCTCTTTTATCTGTTACAAACGTCATCGCTGCCATCTCAGCTGAGAATTGTTTCATCATCATCAGTAACAGCCAAGGGAGAACCAGTTTTCTTTCATGCCAGTTTAATAATAAGTTAAACTCCGCTTACAAATACTCAGGATTATTTTTGAGGGTGTGCTGTGTGTGTGCCCTCCTCCTTCATGCACATCAAGAAGATTCCACACAGTGCACGAGGCAACACTTGCTGCAGCACTGCTGGCAGCTGCAGCTTCTTGGTGATTCCTTTAATAAATCAGATCCACTGACAAAAACTCTTCCTGTTCCTGAGAGCTAAAAAGAGGGGGAGGTTCTTGCGTGTCGGGTGATGGTTAAAATGAAGTTTTACATGTAAATGACCCACAGAACTGCAGGAAACTCAGGACTTAAGTCCAGGACAGGTTCAACAGAATCTTGGGAAAAAAAAAAAACTCTGCCTTCCTCAGTCCAAAGGAGCAGCAGAGCCCAAGCACATCCTCTCACAACGATCCTCTGGGGAATGGAACAATTTTTCCAATCACCTGGCTGTGATTCCTCACAAGAGCTCCAAGACCACACATGCCAGTGGGATCTGGGATGTGGGGCCCACCTGGCAAAAAACCACGACACCATCACAGACCAAACAGACCCGGCTCGGAGAAATTAATTGAATTTATTACCAATCAAAACCGCATGAGGATAACGAGAAGCAAAACAAAGCTTAAAAACATCTTCCCACCACCACCACCACCACCACCACCTCCTCTTCCTCCTTCCCAGGCTTAACTTTATCCTGATTCTCTCTCTCTCCTGTTCTTCAGGAACTGCTCCAGTGAGTGGGGGCCCCTTCCAGGCTGTCAGTCCTTCAGGAACCTTTCCAGCACGTGTTTCTCTCCACAGACCCTGCCAGGCCCCTTCTCCAGTGTGGTCCAACCACTGGATCCCAGCCTCCCTCAGCATCTACCTGCTCCAACGTGGGGCTCTTCCACGGGCTGCAGGTGGATTTCTGCTCCTCTGCGGGACCTCCACGGGCTGCAGGAGGACAACCTACTGCTTCACCAGGGGAATCTCAGCCCCAGCACATTTGACAGCATCTCCTCCCCTTCCTTCTTCCCTGATTTTTGTTCCTCTCCCATCTTCTCACTCCTCTCTTCTCTGGCTGCCAAATAACTTTTTTCCTCCTGAAATACCTCACCCCCAGGGTGTCAGTGCCATCTCTGCTGGTGGGTCCATCCTGGGGACAG